CAAATGAGAGACTCACTATTTATACTACTTACTAGGGGCCTACATGTAAATAATATTTACTTACAAATCTCTACATATTTACAATTTAGTTCATATTCTAAAATTCTCTAGAACATTTCAAGGACTTTCCATGTGATTGTATAACCTTTCTTGCGTGATCTCCATACTTCTCTAGTGTATTCCACTAAGGGCTATTCTTCTTCCAATGTAAGTCTTCCAAGGAAATATCTAGGGAGTTCTAGAGTCTTCCACAAATCTCTACACATGCAACTCTAGTTTCTTCCCCCTTTATAGTCATGTCTTATTTTAATGGCGGATCATGACACTAGGCTAACACACTATTCTGTATTTGTCCTTTGTTATTCCATCCATTATTATAGTGGGATATTAATTCAAGCAAGGACTAGATGTTACGTATTATTTTAAAAATACTAGTATATGTACTCGTGTAATGTACGGTCTTGATAAAATGTATTACTAAAAATAATATATGCATTAGTTTTGTATATTAATAATAAGAATGTTGATATTTTATGAGTATAAATTATTCTAGGTTAGCTTTACTTAGCACCAATTTGCATTAACTTCACAATTATATTTATTTTAGCCTCTCAAAATGACACATCCTATAAATATTCAAATGGAATCAACTCGATAGAATTAAAACCAAGAAATTTAATATGAGAATCTCAACCAATGAATCCAAGCTAGTTGATTTCTAATGCATAATATCCCTCTTACAATTTAATGTACAATTAGAAGATGTTGTGGTCGTAATTCGTATCATGTGTTGTTCACTTATAAATAGGTAATACTAACATAAATACTCTAAACAGTGCAAAAAAACTTTAATATAAATATAAATATTTTTTCAATGAGCTGATAATATCTAAAATTATGTACATTTGATGATATTAAATAAGTGTAAAATGAAATTACTATACAGTTGTCCTATTTTTATCGATGTGCCACGTTTGGGTCGAGGTGAAACTGAAAATTGTCGCATGTGTGGGTATATTTGAAAACTATCTAGTAATTGGAATTACTAGGGAATAGTAACTACGGTGTAATTATAAATGTATGAACTTATTCGCGCTTCGCGCGGTTATAATAGCTCGTTAAATTCACTAAATAACTTTTTAGAATAATTAACTATTTAAAATATTCTATATATTTGTAGTGTCATCCTAATGACTAAATATTTCAAATTTCAAGTTTTAATTAAGTTTATAATTAGTATTTAAGTTTTATATCTTTTATAATTTTAAATCGCTTAAGAGTCTTTTATCTTCTGAAAATATTTTTTATATCACTAAAATTTATGCTCCTTATTTTTGTAACGAAATTTTTTTTTTTTAGTTTTGCTAGTCTAATCTTTTATCTATACATAATTTTTCCTTTCATTTATTTTAAAATTTTATAAAATAATTTCTTTTGCTCGTCTAAACAAAGTGGTAATTTTAGCTAAACCATAATGTATATAAATAATTAGTTCTAGAGTCACTATAAAAAATACTACGTAAGAAATATCATTTATGATTCTATCATCTTTTTATAATTCTTTTAACATTCTATACAAAAAACTATCTTGAAGTATTGGTAAAAAACATTTCAATATAAAGGCAAAACAATCTATTTAAATTAGCTATTTAAACTTGAAAAACAAAAATAAAATAAAAGAAACATAAGAAATAAATAATATTGAAAATTAAAGTTGTACTTAGAATACATGGTGGCTAATAATTATTTTAAGACACATTTTCTTTGTTTTATGTGCCTCAAGTTAAAAAATATCATATATATTTTTATGATTTCATCAAATATCATTGAATTGTCAATTTATCATTAGACCATTCTATTATTTTAAGTTTTCATGACTAAATTTAAAAAAGAAACAGAAAAACTACAAACAATAAGAAACTAAATTTTTGTTAGAAAAATAATTAATGTATATCATACGGTAGGAAATAATTTAAAAAATTAAACTATCAATATTTTTCCATTTTCTTTGCAAATTAATATCTCTCTCATGCCTATCCAATCATTAGTTATTAAAGGAGGCATTTGATCATTAATTTTTTTATTTTATTTTTGAATTTCAACTTCGAAAAAGATATTGACTACGGAGTTTTAAAATTCAACTCAAAATGTATTTTCACTTCAAATTGTTGACAAAATGTAAAAAATAATTAGAACTTGCATTACAAAACTCCAATTTTCATAAATTATTTACATTTTGAAAATAACAATTGTTTTTTAAAAAAATTGTACAATGAAAGTGGCTTAATGCCTACTAAGTTTTCTCATTATGATCATATCATTGTGCCTTATGAAATTATATAATAATAAAAAAATATTGAAGCAAACTCTTTGGTGTCTTGTTCTTTCTTCACATTGTCTTGCCCCCAAATATGACTTCCTTTTCCTTGGGCAATTATAAAGGATAAAAGATAAATACACAATTAAAAGAATAACACTTCATAATTAACGAGTAACATCTTTTGTTGTGTGAACTTTTGAGCAACATTTTCTTGTTTATGGGCTTCTAATACGTTTCCTTCGAACTTGAATTTACATCTATTCCTAAAAAATATAAAATTATAGTTAACAATTCATATTTTATAGATACTCATATCTTTTAATATGTTATTTATGAAAATTGTATATAAAAAAGAAAATAGATATTCTCACTTTCTTTTGGTATGTGTAATTTTTTAGCAACCTTTTTTTGTTATTGACTTTCAAAATGTGTCTATTAGGTTTAGATTCCAAATAACACTTCCTCCTGCAAAATTTAAATTATAGTTTATAGTTCACATTTTATAAATATTCGTGTCTTTTAGTATGCTACTTCTGAAAAATGTATATAGAAAAGAAAATAGATATTCTAACTTCTTTTGTATGTGTGAATTTTGTAGCAATCTTTTTAGTTGAGTCTCCAAGTAACACTTTCTCCGACAAAATATAAAATCATAATTTAGGATTCACATTTCATAAACACTCGTATCTTTTAATAAATTCCTTGTGAAAAATGCATAAATAAAAGAAGATAGATATTCGTAGCATCAATTCATATAAAAGAAAATGATAATCTCACCTTTAAAAATATTCATATAAAAGAAAATAGAATTGAGACTCCAAGTAACACTTGCTCCTGCAAAATATAAAATCATATTTCATAATTCACATTTTTATAAACACTCATATATTTTAATAAATTCCCTTAAAAAATGCATAAATAAAAGACAATTGATACACTTACCATCAATTCATATAAAATAAAATAGATAATCTCACCTTCAAAAATAGTCACTCAAATATAACCATCACCCAACCTTAATTGAGCTACTCTATCATTTGCAATGTTTCTTATATTTATATTTATATGTGCAAACAAGATGTAACTGCAAAGCATAATAATTTGTATGCCATTAAATGTAATGACTTTTCACATTTTTGCATTTATTAATTTGCAATGAAACTTACCTTTTAAATTTCTTAATTACTACATTAATTTCTACATTTCCTTATAGAAACATACACAATACAAGGAAAACAAAATAATTTTAAGAGAAGAGCTAATTAGTATGGTAAAGAATATCCTATCTATGGGTATGTATGCTTTGTCTATACTGATTAGTATGGTAAAGAATAAAACTGATTAATAATTAATTAAATGATCACATAATTAGGTCTAATTAAAGAAAGAAAATAACGCTTATATTTCAATGAAGAAGAAACAAACTAATTTTCAATAATTATTACATTGATTGCTACATTTATATCAATAGTAATAATAAAGAAAAATATAAATAGATCAACATTAATTCAATATAATATTTTAAATTTTAAAATCAAGAGAAAATTCTAAAAAATCTGAGAAAAAAGATAATTAGAAATACTGATCAAAGAACTATGCCACATCAGATTTTTCATTTCCTCCTTTATATATATAGAGAGATTGTTTAGTTGCACAATTATAATTATAAGATTATATTATTAAATAAAAGATTTTATAAATGATATTAAATTGAATAATTAAGATATATATATTATCTTTTGAAAATATCTTAATCAACAAACATATGTTCTTAATTAATATTATAAAAAAATTATATTTTTTAAATTAGTATATTTAATTAAATTAAAAGTACAAGATTTCTATAAGCATCATAAAATACATGTCTGACCAAAAGATTAATATTATAAATATAATATCATAAATTATGAAAATATTTGACAAAAAGACAATCTATTAAGTCTAAGTAAAAAAAATAACTCACTCGCAATGTGAAATATCAAGTCAATACTACTAAAACAAATGAAATTGAAAATATAACAAAAGTTTTAAATTCAAAATAAAAATTTTAACATGATACTCTTATGTCAAATTTCAACATAATAAATATAATTTAAAAGAAAAGAAAAACGTAAATATATAATCTTATTCAACAATAAATTCTACTTCAACAAAAGTCTCAAAAACTGGTCTGAGAAAGGTTTCATTGTCAAACAGATATTTGAAGATAAATTTTAAAAAACTACTCCCAAAATTTATGTCCAAACCCTAGCTAAGTAACTATATCAAATCCTACATCCCATGTATACCCCAATTAACAAAGGGAGTCAGAGGATGAGGTTTGCTCTTGCTTGCATTCAGATGATCTATGGTGTTCCTTAAAATGAATGGTTTTGCTAGAGAAAACGACAGTCATCTGTTATATTAAACGATTTATATAATGACAGTCTATAAAGGTTAGATAAAACAACTTGTACAGTATAAATATTCGAGGATTAGCTGATTCGTGTGGTGTACAATGCACAAGGAATAAAAATTCAGGCAAGTGCAAAGTTTCAGAACTCGAGATTACATAGCTCCTTCTTTTAAGTTTTGGGTCAACTTCAAATGACCATAACTTTCAGCACAAAATGAGTTAGGTGGCCCATAAGATATCAAATCGAAGGTCTTTGAGTTCTTTTTACAACGCCACCTTAACAAATTGAAGGGGATTGAAGATGAGCTCATTATTATACTTAAATCTGCAATAAAAAAGGTTGTTGTATGTGCCCTTAACAAATTGGTATGTAAGTAAAGCTGCATTTAACTGTGTGATGTTACATTATTGATTTCCTAGTACCTGAGTGGACCATAAGTCCACCTTCTATTTAAGATCAGAGCTGAAACTCCCAAAAATGCAGAAATAAAGCTGATTCCCATACTAACATAAAATTCTGGAGTTATAAACTCATCCTCATCACTCAACGTTGAATCTCGAGGCAGTTCCTCCAGAGAGCAAGTGTCTGTTAGTGGATAGCCGCAAAGTCCATGATTTCCAATGTAGGATCTGTTGTTGAAAGTCAGTGAGTGTTCGCCTAGAGGTATTCGACCAGACAAGTTGTTGTATGACAAGTTCAAGACTCCCAGGTGACTTAACTGTGAAAGGCTAGCTGGAATTTCCCCTGTAAGATCATTTATGCTTAAGTCAAGGAAATTTAGTGCCCTCATTTCACCAATCCTCAGAGGGATGCTGCCGGTTAAGTTGTTGCTCGACAGGTTCAAACCGTGCAAACCTACAAGAGATGTAATTACAACCGGGATTTCTCCCACCATGTTGTTGCTTGAAAGATCGATGCTCTTCACCATACCAAGTATGCTGCTGTATTCAAATTGTCGTCCCTTCCACATCAAAACTGCAGTCTCATCGTATGAGGCATTTACTTTGACTTCACCTTGATCATCGACCTGAAAATACCAACTCTTTATTTGGTGCATTGTGCTCTCTTCTTCCGTCATTGCAGTGAGGTTGTTGATACATTTTGGTATGATCCCGGATATCTTATTTTCAGATAAGTCCAAGATTTGAAGTTCTTTTAGCTGGCATATGGTTGAAGGTATGCTTCCACTAAACCTGTTGGATTTTAAGATAACAATAATGATATCAGATATGTTACTCCCAATCCATTCTGGAATTTCACCAGACAAGTTATTAGACTGAACGTTTATAACCCTTAACTTCTTGCAATTTGCCAGGGACTGAGGTAGTTCTCCTGTCAAATGATTGTTTTGAAGATGCAGCATTCCCATCGTCTGCAATGAGCCTATCGAATCAGGTATCTCCCCGAAGAAGTTATTAGTCCCTAAGTTAAGATGCACGATACTTCTAAGCGTCCAGCAGTGAGGAAGCTCTCCAGACAATCTGTTGTCTGAGAGGTCAAGATATCCCAAGTAATCAAAATTGTCACAAATGAAGGAGATGGTACCGGAAAACATGTTGTTGGAGAGATCAACTGTTATAACACTGGTAGGAAAACGTGGTACTGGACCGGTGAATTTGTTTGTAGCCAAATCTATGCAAAGAAGATCAGTCATCTTCTTTGAGAGATCTGGTACATTTCCTCCTATATCATTGTAAGAAAGGTTTAAGAAGGTCAATCCAGGTAACTGTTCCCAGAACCAACTAGGAACGTTACCTGAAATTCCAGAGGCTGAAAATTCAAGCTCGGAAATGTTGTTCTGATTCCGCAGCCAGTTTGGGAATTGAGGACCCAATTTGCAGTGGGTAAAACGAATGAGATCCAGCTGAAAAGGCGGGATCCAATCTGAACTGACTCGAATATGTAGTTGAGTGTTATAAGAGAGGTCCAGCTCACGTAATTTCAAGAGCTTGGACAAATGAGCTTCAGCTATTGTGCCTTCAAGCTGATTGAAGTCAAGGTACAACTTCTCAAGTTTGGAAAGACGTCCAATACTCTCCGTTACACCAGTTAACTGATTATGAGAAAGATATAATTCCCTCAACGACGATAACAGAAAAAGATCAGGCACTGATCCCGTGATTTTGTTCCAAGATAAATCCAAAAGAACAAGACTTGGTAGTTTTCCAACAGCTCCCGGGATGGATTCATTCAACTTATTACGTCCAAGCCTCAGCTCTCTCAAAGATGCAAACTTAGCTACAATATCAGTCAGTGAACCACCAATGTGATTCTCTTCTAAGTTCAGATACTCGAGAGAATGTGACACGCATGACAAGTTATTCATTATCTCAGGAAGCTGCCCGTCTAGATTGTTGGAAGACAGTAGCAATAACTTCAAATTACTACTGTTACCAAGACATCTAGGGAAGCCACCTCCAAGCGCATTCCGAGACAGATCAAGGTGTTTTAAGGATTTTTAATACTCCAAAAAGCATCAGGAATTTGACCATATAAAGTATTACCAGAGAGATCAAGGTGAGTCAGATTGCTTAACTTAAACAGCCAGGTATATACACAACTATTCAGATTTATTAACATAACGTAGAGCAAGGTATCTCAATTGATAAAGACGCGAAATCCATTCAAGGTTATTCACAGATAGGAAATCATTATAGCTCAAATCAAGGGTGTTTAAGCTAGAAAGATCGCCAAGTTTAGGAACTGCCGTAAAATCATCACCAACACAAGATAAGTTTAAGGTATTCCAACTTACTCAGAGAACCAAGAAAGTCCGGTATACCTCCTGAAATTCGATTGTAACTAAGATCCAAATACTTTAATTGCTTCAATTCTTGTAAGGCAGGACTTATCTTACCTATCAATGGCGCAGTGGCAACGGATGCATTGAGACCAGAAGGACCACGAAGATCGAGTCTAATGACATAACTGGTTTGATTGTCACACTGGACACCTCTCCATGTGCAACAATCTTGATTAAATCCTTCATTTCCCCATGAAGAAAGACGTCCACGGACATCTAACAACTCCCGTTTGAAACTGAGAAGAGCTTCTAATTCCGTTTGAAGGCACTTGATATTCCCATCACCAACTCCTGAACTGAACACAACATCACAGGTAACTGACAGCGCGACGAATATGTCAAACAGAATAAGCTGTTGAATGAATTTTTTAGATACACTCATCTTCAGAATATTGATCAAAGTACAGACAAAGATCAAATGAAAAATCTGAAAGTCTAACAACTGCATATCTGATGCTATGATTTATAGAATTATTTTACCACCTGTAACAACTAACGTGTGAATATAGACAAAAAGAGCATAGACTAAAATATTCTATCTATTATTTGGCCATGACTTATTGGGACATGAATTAGTTAAATAGTCTTCTTAATTGGCACGTTTTTCATTTTACTCTCGTTTCAACTTTCATTTCTCTTATTTTTACTTGTCACGGAATCTAAGAAAGTAAGAGAACTTTTGAATTTTATAATGTTAAACTAAAGATAGGTAGAATGTATGGAATTAAAGAGATGCAAAAAAAAAGAAGAGAGATTCTTTTTTTTAACGGAATTCCTAATTCAATGTATATATTAAAAGTTGGAAAAATGCATAAGTAACTTCAATCTATGCCCAAAATTTCAGAGACACATTTATACTATACTAAGGTCTTATTATCCCCGAACTTATTTTAGAAATAATTTTCTAACCCTTTTCGACATACGTGGCACTATCAACCAGTTAACTTGAAAAAATTGTCAATACGCTCTAGGCCCAAAAGATAGTGTCACGTAGGTCGAAAAGAGATAGAAAATTATTTATAAAATAAGTTCGAAGGATAATAAAGTACGTAGGTCAAAAAAAGGTAAAAAATTATTTATAAAATAAGTTTGAAGAATAATAAAACTTTAATATAGTATAAACGTATATCTGAAATTTCGGACATAGATGGAATGTACTTGTGCATTTTCCCTTAAAAGTAAAACTCCGGGCAGACTCCAATGAATAGCGAACGAGAAAGAGACTAAACTCTAGACTAAAAGATATACCGACTCTAGCTCAAACGTTGATAACATTGGCTTTCGTCTTGTTTTTACGCGCTATTTGAGTTTATTTTGGTTTCTGTTCTCACACTCAAACATCAGCCGCCTCCCAAAAAACAAACCCCTTTGAACAGTGAAGACGGTGGAGTATTTATAGGAGAAGGACTAGGGCAGATTTGGGGGGAAATCGGGTAGAAAAGGATAAGGATTTCAAATTCGAAATTCAAAAATTCTTTGAGAATAAGGTTGGACAGCCACGAATCGCACAAATTTTAACGGAATGGGCATTATGGCCGTCCGATTTAGAGATGAAGGACGAAGAAGCTGTGAGATTGCTTCATCTGGATGAATTGAGTACAATTTGCGTACGGAGAGGATAAGGAGAGAGGGAGAGGACGACGCGGGCTGCTGGTTTGCGATTCGGGTCATGATTTTCTGGGCTGGGTTTCGCGTCTGGATTTGCTGCGTTATTCTGGGTCTCGAGTTGGGTCGCGTTTCTGCGTGAAAGAAGAACGTAGAGGGGTGGGGTAGCTGTATTGCTGCTGATTGTATTGTATGTTGTATTGCTGTTGATGGGTATTTGGGCTGGCAATTGGAGAAAAATTGGAATTAAGGGAGTTGGGCTGATGGGCTGATTGTTAAAAGTGGGCTGGAATTGTTTGACTAGGGGTTGGGTTTGCTGGAAAAGTTAGAGAAAAGGCCCAAAATTTGGCCTTTTGATGAGTTTAAGATGAATTGATTAGAGTTGGCGAAATTAGTAGTTAAATAATTGCCCCAAATAAATTCAATGGTAACCAAATCGAATTTAATCAACGAATTTGGTTAAAACTTAAACAAGATGAATTAATACAAATTAATTAATGAGCTTCTTAACTTCAACGAAATGAAATAATTAATCTAATTATAAACTAATAACTCAAAAATATAAGTATAAATTAACTAAACCAATTAACCAACTATTTAAGTAAAACTAAAAAATTTTGAGACGATTTTTGAATATTCATAAAATATATTAATTATATACAAAATTATATAAGAGCCATATTATTATTTAAAAATTAAAAAAGTGACAAACTATTAAAAATAACTTGCAAACCTTTTTTTTTTTTTGAAATTTTCTAAAACTAATTATTTTAAATCGTTTGAAATTGAAGAAGCTTGATAATTAATCTATATGCGGAGATTCAAAATTGAGTGTCAACAATACTATATCAAAACGCATGGTTAATAGTATATCCTAACAATCTCCCACTTAGACTCATAACCATGCATCTACAACTCTAACTCCCATTTTAAAGCATTGTCGATACTTCACCTACTAGAATCAAACACTTATATATAGACCAAAACTAGTAGAATTTAAAAAAGACAATAATAAATTATATTTTTGAAATTTATTCAATTAAATGAGTTTAAACAAGTCATATAATCATGTAAGAGTTCACATAAATTGGGTGTGGTGATTAGAGATGTATGAGGAAGAATTGTGATTATACAATCAACATCCTTAGAACAATATTTGAAAAAACATAAGTATGTTGTGAGGATATCACTTGTTTAACCACACATTGTTGATTGCCACCCCAATTTATGTAGACTCATACGTGATCACATGCTTATGTTCTAAAGATATTGATTGTATAACCACACATAACAAGTTACATCATACTTATATTTTCTCAAATATTGTTCTAAGGATGTTGATTGTATAACTACAACTCTTTCTCATACATCTCTAATCACCACACCCAATGTATGTGGACTCTTACATGATCATATGACTTGTTTAAACTCATTTTTGACAAGTCGCAACAACATATAATGGACAATTTGTCCATTAAACTTAAAATAATTCGGAATGTGCCTCAAATGTCCAAAGCAAGTACCCATAAATTCATTATATAGTTTTTGTTGAATCAGAATTTTTTGAAACTCACGATAAACTGTCATCCTTGATCTTACAGAGATATTTGTTAGAAACGATCCTAATTTATCTAACAACGTCCTGAGATATCTCTTGCACCAATTGGCAAGGATAGAGGATCATCCTCATCTCGACTAGTGTCTCGACTGCTCTCCTCGCTATCACTTTCTCCTTCACTACTCTCAACATTATCACTAGCATCAGCACAACTATCCTGGTAGTTGTCAATCTCCGCCATTGTTTCAGAAACTGAATCAGGCTCGAATTCTTCGACTACAATTTTTTTTTTTACAAGTTTTTAAAACTTCTCTAGCCTTTCGTTTCTTACTTCTAAGAGCAACAAGAGTAGATGGTTTAGTTCTTCCACCTCTAGTTTTAGCCATACTTTATAATCTACAAGAAAAAACATATTTATCGATCATTAGTTTATTAACATAACCAGAGTAAACCTCCAATAAAACATGCAAAATAAATAGCAGATCCAACAGAAATCAACATTGTGATTGACAGAAACGCCACTAAAGTCGATCAAAGTTTAGTAAAAATTTCAAAATCAATAGGCGAGATAAACATAATTTTTTTTTTTAAAAATAAGCAACCAAATAGAGATCCCAACCAAATAGGGTCAAATATTTATATCCAAACGAAAACGTCATTAGAGACCACAAATATTCATGGAATACGGCGAAAAAATTCATCCTAAACAAGAAAATGAAGAAAAACAGTCCAGAAAAATGAGTCATTAAATCATTACACTACTATAACCAAATAAACAACCAAATATGGCTAAAAAATACCGAAAAACACCATTAAAGAAGAATCAACTTACCAAAGATGAAAGCTTTGAACTTGGAGTAGAAGCTTGAAAAAAAAAGATGACGATTTGAGAGGGGTTTAGGACGATGAAAAGTGAGAAAAATTTGTATAAGTTAATGGAAGAGAGTGTATGGGGAAGAGTAGCGTATGATTACACTGGAAGAGATGGAAGAGAAGTGTATGGGGAAGATGAAGATGAAAATCAGGACATTGCACTTGGAGAAGAAGAAACGTCGCCTCAATTTTCATAAACAAATAATATTTTATCAGAATATAATATTTAAAAAAATGTATTGGGATTATAATATATTTTTGTAGTGTTATATTTTTTCCCCAAGTTTTAAAAACAATAAATAAGCCCATGACCCCACATTCACAAATACACCCCAAGTTTTAAAAAAGCCAAAGAGACCCATGACCCCACACTTTTTCTTTTTTAAAAAGCCCAACCCTAGAAAATAAAGCAAAAATAAATTAAGTGGGTATAAAGTGTATTAAGTTTTAAAGGTGTTCCCAATGTCAATTCTTCTCAAGTTAGGTGCAGTTAAGCTAAATGTAACTTTTTGTGCAGATGCAATGAATTTACTTATTCTGACCTTGCTGCATCAGATCATGCTCGAAATACCTCAATAAAATGTTGATTTCTTGTTCTATTCATACTCTT